ATCCAGCTTGATGCTGAATTGCCTACCATCAACAAGGAAATTTCTGTCGCATTGGCCGCGCTCGTCTTCACAATATGTGCACATACCAAAAAAATTTCCGTCGTCAGACGACATTTTCTATGTTCATATTAGGCGAAACATTAAACACTTACTAATTCAATTAATTCAACTACTTCTATTAATTCAACTAAGCATTTACTAAAAATAAACTAGTTATATTAATTCAATTAGTTCAACTAAGCATTTACTAAAAATAAACTAGTTACATTAATTCAATTAGTTCAACTAAGCATTTACTAAAAATAAACTAGTTATATTAATTCAATTAGTTCAACTAAGCATTTACTAAAAATAAACTAGTTCTATATATTAATTCAACAAGTTCAACTAAGCATTTACTAAAAATAAACTAGTTCTAATCCTCCATCTCTTTCTCAGACTTATCCCACTTAGTTGAAACATTAAACACTTATTACTATCTAACATTAATTAATATCTAGCCAATTCAAATATATATCTAACTATATTCATCTCTAACAATTGACATTACTATATATTTAACTTTTCTATCTAATTCATCTAACATTCGACATTAATCTAACATTTATATAAACTGAAAATATATAAAAACATTAAATAAACAGAAAAACTCATTAACAAATAATATTTTAATTAGATAATCAAATCTTAGATACGACAATTTTCTTACTAAAAATAAACTAGTTATATTAATTATTCAACTAGTTCAAATCTCATATACCTAAATAAACTAGTTCGACAATTTTCTTACTAAAAATAAACTAGTTATATTAATTATTCAACTAGTTCAAATCTCACATACCTAGCTAATTAATATCTAATTAAATTTTCTAAAAAACAGAAAACAGAAAACAGAAAATAAGTAAAAAATGTGTGTGTGTGTGTGTGTGTATATGTGTGTAGTGTGTGTATATGTGTGTATGTGTGTGTACGCCGCCCCGTATGCCGCCGCCCCGTACGTACGAGCGGGGGCGGCGGCGTACGGGGCGGGGGCGCCGGCGCGCGGGTGCGAGAGACGTACGGGACCGCGGCGACGACGACGGACGGCGGCGGCGCGAGACGACGACGACGACGGGCGGCGGCGGGGACAGTGACGACGACGAGGGACGACGGGCGACAGGCGGCGACGACGGGATCGAGCGGCGTGCGGCGATGTCGAGAGATTGAAGACGAAAGTGGGGAGATGTAACTGAAATTTTCGTAAGTGCTATATATATAGGATGGGCCTTTAGTACCGGTTGGAGCCACCAACCGGTACTAAAGGCCAACTTTGGCCAGGCCAAGAGGCGGGAAGAGCAGGCCTTTAGTATCGGTTGGTGGCTCTAACCGGTACTAAAGGGTGATCTTTAATACCGGTTGAAGCCACCAACCGGTACTAAAGGCCTCGCGCTGCCACCCTAAAGTTTAGTCCCACCTCGCCGGGCGAAAGGCAGCCGCACTGGTTTATAAACCCAGCCGCGGCTACCTCTTTGAACTCCTCTATATAGCAGGCTTGTGGGCCTAAATTCTGCGCGCTGCCCTGTGAGTCTGCTGGGCCTTTAAGGCCTGTAATTGCACGCCCGTGGCCTAGCAGGCCCACAGGGCAGCGCCCCAATTTTTTTTATAGTTTTTTCCTTTTCTGCTTTATTTTCTTCTATTTATTTTTGCGTAGTTTTTTGTATAGTTTTTTTTTCTGTTATATTTATTTTCTTCTATTTATTTCTGAGTAGTTTTTCATCTAGTTTGCCAAAATTCAACATTTTCAGAGTTCATTTTGTAGTGATTTTCAATTTCACGGTCATTTTATATAGTTTTTTTCTTTTCAGCTATAGTTTTTTTTCTGCTATTTTTTCTTTTCTACAAAACTTGATGGTCAAAGTCTGGAGTTATAACCAAAGTTTTAAAAAAAAAGAAATGCCGACATGCAATTAAGCAGCGAGAGCATTGAGCCTTTTCTTCATCGTCTCTGCACTCAGGGCTTATAAACCGCTCCTAGTCCCTCTCTCTTCGCGAGGTGGGACTAAAAAACAGCTTACTAAGAAACTGTAGTACTGGTTCATTCATGAACCGGTACTAAAGGTGCTCGTGGGGCCCCAGCCTTACCTGACACAACCTCATTAGTACCAGTTCGTGGCACGAACCGGTGCTAAAGGTTCGCCACGAACCGGTACTAAACAGCTCCTCCCGCCTAGCAGTTGGTGCATACTGAACGCAAAAAATATAAGAGCATTTAGATCATGATCTTATATTTCTTTACAGTCTAAATTATCAATATGATCTTATAACATCAAGAATACTTTGATCATCAATGATCTTTGTGTGTACAATCTGAATTGTTAATATGAGTCATCAACGATTTATAAACCGATGAAGACTCATATTGCGGCCACAAATTCTACACATAGAGTTCAATGAAGACCAAGTGTTTGTGATAGTTTGAGAAATAACATATTTAAGGTGGTAAAAGGCTTGTTAGGGGAGCAAGGTGGGACTAAAAATAGCTTGCCATAACCTCATTAGTACCGGTTCGTGGTACGAACCGGCACTAAATGGTGATGGTGGGGCCATAGCCTGACCGCAGGCTGACACAGCCTCTTTAGTACCGGTTCGTGGCAAGAACCGGTACTAAAGGTTCGCCACAAACCGGTGCTATTGATCGCCGGCACGAACCGGCACTAATGTACACATTAGTGCTTCACATTTGACCATTTTTCTACTAGTGGCCTTTGCTCCTCTCCGGGCACAGCCGCCGCGGCTGCCTCCATCTCCATCTGCTGCTCACCACTCCATCTCTCCGCTCTCTGCCCCCGCCACCGCCACATCGCCGTATGTGCCTCCTTGATTTTTAAACTAACACGAGAGTTGGCACACCTTGATTTTTAATCTATACTTCCACCAAAGAAAAAGTTGATTCCCCCTTGTTTCTTCGATGGATCTTGTTACTCTTGCAGATTGGAAACTCCTAGGTGGTAGGCGTCCTCGGCGAGAAAATGATTTGTGATTTTTCCCGTCGTTTGTGAAGGTTTGGAGTCCGCCTCAAGGTATACCACCAGCGGTTGGGAATCACCTTCTTGGTGATATCTCAACAAGAAGAGGGTGAGCTTTCATGGTGTTGGTGTGCCTTCATGGTAACACCCACCCCTCCAACAGTGAGTAGTTTCCTTCCAACGAAGTGAACATCGGGATGCATCATCGTCTCCGGTGTTTCCATTTATCTCTAGCCCTAACTCATTACTTAAGGTTTATTTTGGTCACTTAACACTGCTAGCACCATGTAGATTGTTTACCTCACTACAATTGTTTATCTCACTATACAATTGTTTAAGATCTGGTAAGTAAGGGGTTACTAGAAAACCTATTATTAGACTAGCATTACCAAAAAAATCACGTGGATAAATACTTTTAATGTGCGTGGTCCTAATCGAATCAATTGAGTTCAACCTAACATATATTGTTGTGATTTGTATCTATCACGATCCCTAGATAAGACATTATTTGTAGAGATTGATTCGTCCTAATAATCAATTGTAACCTTAGCGACCAAGTGTCATCCATGTATAAATACAAGGCAAATCCCTACGGGGTATCTCACAGCAAAACATTGTATTTGAGCTGGTAACAGAGGCAAGATGCCGCGGTCGCGGCAACGACAGAACCAACCTCAAGTCCCAAGTTTGATCCCTATTCATTCAGACACAGTGCCGCAACCACTTCAATCATGCGTACCAGTTCATGTCCATAGTGTACAATACAACCCAGTGTTGCGGCGTCACCGGAACGCTCACGTACGATGATCCTCGGGCTGGAGCACATGATTGAAGCGGTTGCGGCATTGTAGCGCGTCATACCTGAATTTGGAGCAGACTTGGCACTCGAGGTTGCTTCCGCCATTGCCGTGTATGCGCCCACCAAGGCCACAACCAGCAGTGTCGACGGTGAGGATTTGAGCTACATAAAAATAAAATGCGCCTTATTTGATGTTACACCAGATCAAGGCAAAATTCAGAAAAAAGAAAGGCGGATAGGTTTGTAACTACGTTGTGGTGCAACGGTGTACAGGATTCGGCAGAGGTTCAGTTGACACTTGATCAGAGTTCAAGTATGGAGGCGACATACATGCTTTGTTTCTGCTTAATTAAAGAGAGGAGCCTAATTAAAGGTGACACTACAGGTTGTGGGTGTGTAACTGTAACTTAATATAACAAACAGAGATTTGGGTTTGTGACACAGAGCATAAGAAGAATGGCAAAGCTTTCAGTAACCTCCAAATTACAGCAGATCTTGCCTGTCCACGGTTTTTAGCCACCTCTCCTTTGGCTCTTGTTGTTGATGATACTGCCCCTTCTATCTCTTCCTGCCAAGCACACCACAAGGAGTTTCAGTTATGGGAAGGCCATCTCTCTCTCAATAACTTCTGTAGTGAAATGATGAAAGTTTTGCACTTACATGTGTTGCAGGAATGATGATTGCTCCTGCAGCAAAACGTTCGATATCCGTTCGCGGAATATGAAACCCCGGCATGATCATCACGCCATCTCTTCCTGCCAAGAACACCACAAATCCATGCAAATTTTGTGCAATTACATCCATAAAAGAATACACTTTAGTAAACAAATACCACAGCATCCCACAATGCGCTGCCATTCAAATATTCAACTGAATGAGATCGATATTGTACAGAAACAGTAACAACAGCGCCAAATGGGATTATCATATCATGTTTCCTTGAATGAACCCATGCATTATTTTACAGAAAGCAGTTCTCTCCAGGTTCACATTTACAATCTGCATCATCATTTTCAATGTCTTCTCTTCGTATTAAGAAAAAAGAGTGTCTTCTTCACATTGCACACAACAGAACCTTCTGTGGTAAGTACAAATCTAACCAAGGATAATCAATCTTACACTCTCAAACCTTCCGAGACAAATATTGAGCTACTGAGCGCACCTGAGGTGGCTAGAGGATAAATTTTGGTCCAAAACTACGATGTATATATAGGTATTTCTGATAATACTGAAGAATCTGCAGCAGGGGCGAACTCGTCCCCGCAGAAGAAGGGCTCAGGAGGCATCTCCAGGCCATCGATGCCAGTTTCGAGCATGTCTATCACCTCGCTCATCGCCGGTCGATCGTCTGGCTTCATCTGGATGCACCAAAGCGCAACGACGCACAGCTTCCTCTCCACCTGATGGATACCAACAGCCTCCGAGATCTCACCCACCTCTTGCCGAGACATCTGATTGTACACCCATGACGGGTAGTATGTCTGGCTTCTTGATGCTTGTGGGTCCACGTTCCTCCGCCCTCCGGCCATCTCCAGCAACAGCATCCCAAAGCTGTAGACATCAGACTTGGACGATATGGCGCCAAAGCTACGGGACACCATCTCGGGAGCTATGTAGCCAACTGTTCCCCGCGCAGCGCTCACCGGCAAAAAGCTGTTGTCCCTGGGGTACAGTTTCGCCAGTCCAAAGTCAGCGATTTTTGGGGTGAAGTCACTGTCCAACAGGATGTTGTGCGGCTTGATGTCGAAGTGTAATATCTGCATATCGCACCCTCGGTGCAGGTAGTCGATCCCTCTGGCAATGCCCAGAGCAATCTGATTGAGCTTGTCCCAGGAGAAACTCTTCTCTGGCGAGAAGATGTACTTCTCAAGAGATCCGCGGGGCATGTACTCGTAAACAAGAGCCCTCCTCATTTCCTCCGAGCAGAAACCCACCAGACGCACCACATTGACATGGTGAATTCTTCCGATGCTGGACACCTCACTGATGAATTCTTCTCCGTTGGACATGGAGCTGACCAACATTTTGATGGCGACATGGACGTCACCAGGAAGCACACCTTTGTACACAGAACCATAGCCTCCTTGGCCCAGCTTCTCCTTGAAGTGGCTAGTGATCGCAGTGATGTCTGTGTAAGCGTACCTTGTTGGGGCAAGAGCTAATTGCATCTGGAGGAACCTCTCAACTGCGTCAACTGATATCTTTGTTAGCCAGTACTTGTAGGCAAGGAAGGTCAATACGGACAATGGTGCAAACACCAACCTGGATAGTATTGCAAACACTGCATAAACAAGATTGCAGAATAAAGTTAGATGTATACAATCATGGAGCTGTAATTCTTAGCATTGGGCGATTCGGTCATTACCAATAATGAACTTCACAATACTTATGGTAGATACCATGACCACCGCTGCCCAAAATAATTTCGTTTGGTAGGAGTGGTCATTTACACATCTCAAGAAATGCATGTCGATGCCAACAATAGCTGAAGTCTGATTTAGGATGTTTGAACTAGACATCTTTTCGTGGAAGTTACTGCAAGTAATAACAGGGACTGGTGAGAAGATAAACAGCTTAATCTAATTTGAGGCAGAAATTGCAACCAGAGAGAGAAGTATCTAGTCCACAGAATGCAGACTCACCTCATTGAATCATTCAGGCATGTCTTGAGGATCCAAGAATATGTCCAGGGAGCACGATATACAGGAAATCTAACAGCAAACCCTGTCCTCATAAATTTTACGACATCTTCATAATCATAACTTGCAAAACCATTTGGCCTCGGATGCCAACTTCCGAGAGGAGTCATGGCCAAGTATCCACATGAAGGCTCAACATTTTTAGACCAATAAGAAAGCACGGTAGTCAACACATAAACAAAAGAAGTGTTGGTGCTCCGGCAAGCAACAGGCCTATAAATAGCATTATTTTTTATCATGCGTGAACAACTCACAAAGGCGGCCCATTGGCCTGAATCCGGGTAGAGCAGTATCGTGTTAGCTGATTGCAATCCATAGATATAAGGGCGTTGATTCCTCTGAGGAATAGGGCAGATGGTGCTATTATCCAAACTGGCATCAACAACCCAGAAAACAGAGTCGCTGTAGGAAATGTTAGTGACGAGATATCTTCCCGTGTCGATGTGAATTATAGCCTGGCTATCGCTACAAAATAGCTCATATTCTCGAAGACCACAACCAGGCGGATCACCTCGCAAACGGAAAGGATGCTGGATGTCTTGGAGATGCCCGCAGGAGAAAGAGGGGCAAACTGCTTGCCCCAGAGTATCTTGTGCTCCAGTCTTGGCTAGAAGAACTGAAAGTGTGGAGGAGATTGCTAATGCTAGGAGTATAACAGAGTGAGGAAATGCAACGGAGTTCATCATGAGAGCTTCACAGATGCATGGAAGCTGGTACTAGAGTTAAGAAGAAGGCTAATTATCGAAGACTGGTCTTGAAGGACATACGTATTTTCTGGTGCATATGGACTGATGGAGACACAAGAGGAAGAATAGTCAAGCCTGATTGCTGGTTTTCTTAGTCAAACTAGTGTACAGGAAGATAGACTTTGACTTGTCAAAGGCAACATACAGGAAGATAAGGCAGAAAGGTTGGAATCCGTCAAAGGCAACATCCAGGAAGCCTCGTCCAACTGATTGATGGCAACACCAAGGTGGCTAAGATATTTCTTCTTTATGATTTCAACATTACAAAAGAAGCTCAGTTCTTGTAGGCATAGCTCCATCTCATTTCCTCCTTATCTTCATTTTTCACAGAAATGTTTGACGCTTTGGTTCTAGCTCTGTTGTTCGTCCTACATCTTGACTATGGAATCAACAGGGCAACAGCAAGTAGTGATGGAGATTTCTTCCATAATTGCGCACCAACCAGGTGCAGCGAAGGCGGAACAGAGATCCGATTTCCGTTCCGCCTTGCAAGCAGCCCCCAATCATGCGGAGCACCTGGCTTGGAGCTAGCATGTTCTAGGGAAGCAGATACCATCCTACTTCACCCAATCCTTGGACTATGCAAGGTCACTGCAATTGACTACATATTTGGTGGCCTGAATGTCATCCCGCTTGAAGAATCATGGACTAGGTGCCCGCTTCAGAAGATCTCTACCACCAATCTATCAACTAGTGTATACATACCTGACAGTTACGGAGGTGAAACTGCAAACCTGGTACGCTGTTCAAGAGAGTTGATACCAGCAGAGAAGGCCGGTACGAGGCCAGGTATGGGGGACAGTATTGTTGGCCCAATCTCTTGCCTGAGCAACACAAGTCAGTTCATATATTTGATGGACGGTAGTGAACCAATGTATATCCTTCCCTTAGACTGCACAGTGGTTTCAAATGGTATCTCAACGCCGTGGGATTATGATATCAAACCTGCTGTGTTATTCACTGAAAGAGCCAGAAGGGTCATTGCATTTGGTGAGACAACCTTGACTTGGTCAGTTCCTAACATAACCGACATTTGTCTAGACTGCGAGCGAAACGGGCATCCCTGCGGATTCAGCTCACAACACAGGCAAGCATTCTGCAAGCGCCAAGGTATTGTTTCTAGTCATTCTTAAGCATCGGAGGATTTGTTCTGAATAAATTGCATGCCTTAAATAATTTTGACAAGAGTACCTAAATGATCCAAATAAAGAACACTTCTTTTTATCCAACCTTTGCTATATATATGCAAATATGTCTGTGTTTACCAGCATATCTGAGTCCAGTAAATATTTCACTCGCATGGTTCTGATACTCCCCCATACAGATAGCATATACAACATTAACAGTAACCCACTTTTATAGTTAAATTCTTACTAGAAATGTATCACATTGTTCAGAAACAGCACTATGTTTAGCTCCAAAATTTCTGATAAACAGGCTGGTTGACATATAAGATTGCTTTCAGTTCTTTAAGCCCTTTGAAGGAAAAAAAATCTCTAAACAACTAAACACACTATTCACTATATTTAGGAAATAATCATGCTGGAACAGCCATATCAAGAAGCTCAGGGATGAAAAACGTTCATGATTATGCAGACAAGCCAATGACACCTGGAAAGAAGGCCTGAATTCCAGCCCAACTAAACTGCATTTTTGTGATGCTCATACTTTCAAAGTTATTACTGAAGAAAGAAAAAATGATGTCCCAAGAAAGTTCAGATATATGCAAATAGTTTCATCATTACAAAAAATGTATATTACTGATCTGTGTTTTACCACAAATTAGCATACTGTCATGTGTTGAATCTCTTTTCCATTCCATCAACAAAAAACTGGCATGAGAAAAAAGTCAGTAGCCTTTTTTTTTTCTCTTACAAAAAGAAATAGAAATTGTAAGCCTTCTATTATTTTGCACACAAAATCTAAATGGCTTATTTCCTACATGCAGGTTCACGTGTGAAAGTCATTGCAGGTATTACGCATACATTTTGTTGTATATTACTCTTATTCTTGCATCTTACCCATATATAAGAGGAAAGACATGAAAGCAAGATTGTTTTAGTCCAAGTATAACTCACTGTTTGCCTGCATTCTTGTTTTTCAGCAACATCATCAGTAGCCACATTTGTGGTTCTCTTGTTGACGGCAGCCACAGCACTCTATCGATCCCTAAAATCAAAGGTTGATGAAGAGGTACGTTTGAAAATCGAAATGTTTCTCGAGGCATATGGCACATCAAAACCAACAAGGTACACATTCTCTGAAGTTAAAAAGGCAACAAGACGATTCAAAGATAAACTGGGTCAGGGTGGATTTGGAAGCGTATACAAAGGTCAGCTGGCAAATGGAGTACCTGTGGCAGTAAAGATGCTGGAGAACTCAAAGAGCGACGGAGAAGAATTCATGAATGAAGTTGCAACCATTGGTAGAATCCACCATGCTAATGTGGTCCGCCTCTTGGGATTTTCCTCAGATGGAACAAGGCGTGCTCTTATCTATGAATTCATGCCTAATGGATCCCTCGAGAAGTACATATTCGCACAGGAATCAGATCTTTGCCGTGAGCTATTAGCACCTAACAAGATGCTGGAGATAGCATCAGGCATTGCACGAGGAATCGAATACCTGCATCAAGGGTGCAATCAGCGGATCCTCCATTTTGACATCAAGCCTCACAACATCTTGCTGGATTACAGCTTCAGTCCAAAGATTTCAGATTTTGGGCTTGCAAAGCTGTGTACAAGGGATCATAGCATCGTCACACTGACTGCAGCTAGAGGAACAATGGGTTACATTGCGCCAGAATTGTATTCTCGGAACTTTGGGAGAATATCGAGTAAGTCCGACGTTTATAGCTTCGGCATGCTGGTGCTGGAAATGGTGAGCGGGCGGAGGAACTCGGATCCATGGATTGAGAACCAAAACGAGGTTTACATCCCAGAGTGGATATATCTGAAAATAAGCACGGAGCAAGAACTGGAATCATCAAGGGAAATGGCGCAAGAAGAGAAGGATACAGTAAGAAAGCTGGCCATTGTGGCACTGTGGTGCATTCAGTGGAACCCGAAAAACCGCCCATCCATGCCGAAAGTGCTGAACATGCTGACAGGAACCTTGCAGAGTCTAACGATGCCCCCCAGGCCATTTGTTTCGTCTCCGGGCCACCCCAAGCCACAAATCTAGAAATTTGTTTCACGGCGACTCTGAATGTCTTTATTTCGCACACTGAGACTTAATTTGCTGCAGTAATGCCTATTGTATTGTGTATGACACTTGGTTTTCAGCTTGATAAGCAGTCTAATGGTAAACTGTCCGGCATCTCGTCATGTGAAATATCGCAACCGTCGGCAATGTGGTGGTCGGCACACCGGACAGAAAGCCATCGGTCACCATGTGGTGGCATTTGTGTGTTTCAGAAATTGCTGCTCGACTTACAGTTAGCTAATTTGCTAGCTACTGTCACCATGTGGTGTAAAAGTGTAATTACCAGGGCATGGCATCCGATTCCACAACAGGCTGCAAACTGGTGTACAGGCCATGGTAAATAGCTGCCGCTTACCATGTACATGGCCGGAGTTGAGCCTCACTGAAATCCGTCCTCGTCTCCTTGCCGGATCTGTACCAGCGAGCAATCCATGTCAAGTGCTCGGAAGGAATCCTACTCAGGCCAAGGTAATTAAGTAGGAACACGAGATGGTAATGCACACGATAGAAAGGGGAAGGAGGAGGTTCACCTTAATTTCTCGGTGCGGCGGCGAGCTACCGGAGACGGCGGCGGTGGCGGCTGCGGGTAAGGAAAATGCTCACGCACGGGAGAGTGGCTGGCGCCATGGGAGCGCGAGGGTGTCCGGGGCGGGGGACGGTGTAGATCGCCGCCTCCCCCGCCGGAGCTCCGTCGGGGAGTGTGGTGGGGCGGCCGGCGGCGGCGGCAGGGGACGGGAGTAAAGCAGCTCTCTTTTTATTCTTCTGTGAAATGTGGGGCGGAAGGGGACGGGTGTAGACCCAACTAGGCCTCAAGTTTTTTCTCTCCGTGTTTCTTTATTGGTTTTTTATCTTTTTTTTTTAGTTTTTCAGCATTTCTTCAGTTTTTTTCTTTGTTTATTTTTATTTTTAACACATGTATAATGTTTTTGTACACGTCGTACGTATAGTATACAGTGGAACATTTTCTTGGTACACATGGAACATTTTCAAATATTTCATATACGTTTTCTCAAATATCACTACTACATGTCAACCATTTTTCAAATACACATTGGACATGGTTCTAATGACACGAAACATTAATTTATATGTGAACTTTTTTATAGAGATTTTATCATTTACGCCACTAGTTGTGTCCCACTATCCAGTTTTGACATTAGAAGTTACAACTGCTTAAAAATTGCATTGTTTCGTGAGATACTTGCTCAAAACTGCACCTTAAAATTTCATCATTTCATTAGATGTTTGCTAAAAAAACACCATCAGACATCATTAGTGTCAGGTCAAACCCATTGACCATGTTATGTGACCAAAATACCCACATGCCAGGTCTCTCTATCTCATAGTGATAAGGTGGGCCCCATTTGTCAGCAGCAAGCAAGCGAATAACTTAGAGGAAACTAAGAAAATTGTGGGGATCGAGTGGGACTCACACTTTACGGTAGTAAGATGAGTTGTCATGTTGGTCCATGAGGATGTTGGTCATGTAACATAATAAACGGGCTTTTCAGTTGGCAGTAATGGTGTCTAGTGGCATTTTTTTGCATGTGCCTACTGACCGATGGCATTTTAAGTAGTTGAAATTACTATTCATAAATGATAAAAAAACTTTTAATATTGTATTAATATTTTGATATGTTAGAACCATTCTTTTGAAATGATTGAATATTTCTTTAAAATGTCACGTACATTTTTAATGGTATTCAACATTTCTTTATACTACATGAACACTTTTT